TGTGTTTTTTCTAGATTTTTGGTTGATATTCTGTCTCTATTATTTAAAGCACACCTATGATAAAAATATAGACCTTTCATCTCTTTGTAAGTGAGCAAACTTACACAACCTGCAGGGGATCAAATAAATATTTTCCCTGCTGTAGATGAAACCAGATCCCTGAGGAGCATAAAGCTATTTCAGAAGATATTGGGATTTTTATCCCTACTACATTGGATATTAATCCAAAAACATCAGAACAAAAAGGTGGATAGGGAGGGGCTTGCCCATTGTATGTGGTGGAGCGTGCCAACTGAACCGCAGTTCCTCCACACATGGGAGAGGTTTGCAGAGAAAATGTAAAAATTCTGTGTGGAGTTAGGTACCACTGTAACAGGAGCTTGTGCATTATTTCACTTCTGGTTGCAGCGTATGTAATACTCAACTTTTTTGCCACTTCTCTGAGATGTATGGTACCCCAAAATCCCTTTCCCAAGTGTATGTATGTGAGCAGGGGCGGACTGTCCATTTTGACACTCGGGCATTGCCCGAGGGCCTAGGGTCAGTAGGGGGCCCCATGAGATCCCCTAGTACCTTTCATAGGCTTTTTTGGGTGTAGTTTTAGTGTTGTGAGCATAGAGGGGCCCCCATGACCCGCTATTGCCTGGGGGCCCCATGAGATGCCCCTGGTACCTTTCATAGGCTTTTTTCATAGGCTTTTTTGGGTGTGGTTTGAGTGTGGGTGAGGACACAGGGGCCCCATGATCCCCATTGCCCGGGGGCCCCATGAGCTGTCAGTCCGCCCCTGTATGTGAGGATTTAACAAATATAGTTTTGCTGTAAAGTATAGTGTAGAATAATGAGATACACTTCAGTTTAATAGAAATAGATTTTTAAAACTGGGCTGCACGCCAGGGTAATGACATAGTAGTAGTTGGGTTAGAACTGAGAAAATGTGCGATCTGCAAGTATTTATATTAATCCAGAGAGGATATACAAAATTCTATCTAAAGATTTAAAGGTTTTAATAGCCAGGCCTATTAGTAGATCCTCTGCTAAAAGAATGCCCTGGGATGCCTATTATGCTAGGTTTAATTCTGGTAATGATAGGCAAACTGTAGATAGGAAGTGAAAGGTTAGAACATATTGATCCATCAGGGGGCATATTTATTAAAACTCACCTCACCGCCAATGCAGCTATTATAGTAGGAGATACTCGAGATGGCAGAGATGACATAAAGCGGCTAGCCAGTAAGTAGTTATATAAGATATTACCTGGTAGTTGGTAACTTTCCAACTTTGCCCGGGGTCACTTGTGTCGTAGGAAACAAGGCCTTCAAGTGGGTGTGGATTTCTGCCAAATAATAATCTTTGATTAGGACATATCCTACCCCTCTGGCCTTTCTTAAAACAATTAGTTTACTAAAAGCACACCTTGCTCCCTTGCCTTGCCACAAGTATCTATTTACTAAAGATTGTGCTTTCATAAAAAAAGAGTTTGGTACTGGAATTGGCAGAGTTTTAAATATATAAAGTAGTTGGAGTAGTAGAAGCATCTTGAAGGAAGCCAAATGACCCGACCATGATAACTCTACTCTAGCAAGGTTGGTTAGCTTGGAGCTTAATTTTTTTAGAAAGGGTATATAGTTTGCTGTCACCAGATCTTCCACTCTAGCTGTTAAGGTAATGCCCTAAGTAGTTGATACCATTTTGTTTCAACATATTATTGGAAGAGAAATATAAGTTTCTCTTTTACAGATATCGGTACTCCCAAATCTAAACTATATGATTTTCATTGACCTTATAGTATGGCGCTTGATTAAACAACATTAAGTTTGAATGAACCGAAGCCAGGGATTTCTCTACATCAGTCAACATCAGTATTATATTGTCTGCAAAGAGACTGATAGCGTGCATTCTATTCTAAACGCAGAAATTACAGATTCGGGGGTTAGAGCATATATAGGTTGCCATAGGTGCCATTAGTAAGTTGAAAATAATTGGTGATAATGGACATGCTTGATGTGTACCGCTTATTATAATAAAGGGAGTGGAAACCATGCCTCATATATACACTAGTGCTAAATGCTTAGTATATAAGGTCTTAGTGGCAGAATAAATTGGTCCAGTGAATCCAAAAGCTGCCAGAACCTAGGCTAGGTAATCCCAATGGATTCTATCAAACGCCTTCTCTGCATCCAAAGCTAGGATCAGAGAAGGTGTTTTTTGTGTACTGGCTTAGTGAATAATATTTATAAGGTGCCTGGATGCAAGTTCCGCATATATATTTCCGTCATTATTCAATAGTGAAATGGTTTGGAAATTTGGTGGAGTTACTGGATCTTTCCCTGGTTTGGGCAGGGTTATAAATAATGCCTTAAGCATTTCAGGGGGAAATGAGGAAGAGATAGCTGCAGAGTTGTACATTTTTTCTAGATAAGAAGTCAGAAGGTGTTTAAGTGTTTTAAAATATTCCCAGTTCAAGCCATCTGGTTCTGGAGATTTATTTTTGAGTAAAGAGCCAATTACCCGAGTAATTGCTAAGGTGGTAATAGGTGAATTTAGCATTTGAAGATGGTCAGGAGTTAATTGAGGAAGTTTCACTTTTTTCAAAAACTGACAGATTATTTCTGAGGTTGGTTGAAAAGTATTGAGGTCTGAGTTCAAGTTATAGAGCTTACTATAGTAATTACTGAAGGCGTCTGCTATTTGTTGAGAATGGTGCAATTTTTCATTGGTGGTTGGGGGAATTATAAATGGGATCTTAGTTTTATGTCTGTGTCCCTTCAGACAATGAGATAAAATTTTGCCTGCTGTAATCGCCACAAGCATAATTGGTCATTTTCAAATGTCTAGATGTTTTTTAAAAATTTTCTAATAGCAATGGGTGGCGGTCATGGCGATAACAGGATAATTTCTGGGATAACACATAGGATGGGTTTTTCTTATTTTGCGTGTCTAATGTATGAATTTCATTAGTTATATCCTTTATACACTTTTGCCTCTGTCTCTCTACTCTTGCCCCCAGTTTGATAAATATATCACTTATGAATGCCTTATGTGCATTCCATAAAATAAAAGGATTGCCTACAGATGAAACATTATCCTCTCTATCTCAGAGCAAGCTGTAGGTTGTTGGAGAAGTACAGGATTATACCTCCAAAGGAAGGAAGGATTCAGAGAAAATGAGTCTGTAATAGACAGCAAAACAGAAGCATGGTCTCACCATGGGATATTGTTGATGACTGATGAAGTTTTTGTTAGAAGCCATTGATCCAGTAAGAACAATTCAATCCCTGTTTAGGAGCAATGGGAGCATATAAACAGCGCCATGCAATATATAGGTCATGCACTTGTACTGAATGTTGTAGAGATATTGGGAATCTTTTGGAATTAAACGTCGAATGCATAGAGGGGTCTGAAGCAAGGTTAAAGTCTCCACATAAAAGTAAGGTCCTTGTTGTATTTTGCGGATCCTATGCAGCAACTTGCTAAACAAATGAAGCTGATGTGTATTCAGTGCGTACACATTTACTAAGATGTAAGTTGAGGAGTTTATGTCGCATATAAGAATTAAGTAGCGGCCCTGAACATCTTTAATTTCTTTGTGCAGAGTGAATGAGACTGTTTCCTTGATAGCTGTCAGGAATGGACTCGCCACTGGTGGTGGGACTCACCTGCCTTGTGGGCTGCAGTACCAGTGCTGGCCAGCGGGTGCTCTCAGCAGCCAGAATCTCACTCCTGCAGTCAAGCCATCACCTGAGGCTGATTGCAGGAGGTGTATTTAAGCAGGACCAGGCCTGCAATCAGTGCCATGGTGTATTGTTCCCATGAGCCCCTGTGCCTGAACCTGTCATCTGCCTGCCTGCCTTCCTGATCCCTCTGCCTGACTCCTGACATTGATAGAACTCTGCCTGCACCGACCTCGGCTATTCCTGACCACGCTTCTGCCTGCTCCTTTGTACCTTGTCTGCCCGATGGTTCCTTACCCGGGCTGCCTGACCACTCCACCTCACCAGCCCTGACTACTCTTGTCTGTGTGCTTGTACTTTCTGTTATCAGTTGGAGGTTTGGTTTTGTTTATATTGTGCATTTATATTTTTGCATAGCCTCTAATAAATTATATTGTTTACACCATGCTTGAGCCTGCGTTTCCCTGTGTTAGTCCACACACCTCTGGTCATACCTGGATCCCTGACATTACACCAAGGCAAATCCTGACCAGAAGTGGCTGCACAGGGAAGCCATTTTGGCTTGTTGTTGTGAAGGATGCATCCTGAGGAGGTTGTGTACTTGTCGCTGTTAGTCTTAGAAGACAGAGAATATGGCAATCAGATTCTGAAGGAGTATACCAGGGATCAGCTGCTAGAATGCATACAAGTTGCTCCTTCACTAGTAGATCAGGGCACAGAGTTTTCTGAGGTGCAGCCATTGATCCAGGTTTGTGCTGAGTTGGCTCTGTCCTGCACCCCTGAAAGCAGGGATGACGTTTTTCCACCATTTAGTGCAGATCAAGTGGAGTCACTGGTATGGTTGTTGGAGGATGATCCAGATTGCTTCCTTGAGCATTATGCAGCTTGTCCATCACATCTGCTTGTGGATTGCATAAACGCAGTGCAGTCTTTGGTCAGACAGGCTACGTGTAAGCTAAGCTTTGTTCAACAAGTATTACAGACATGGTCAGATTTGTTACACCCAGCCTCAGTCAGCTTGCCAAAACCCAGTCCTGCTTCTAATCTATTTTTTCAAAGCTCTATTCTTGCATTCCCGACAGCACCTCCAGTTCCAGCCCCGTATACCCTGCCATCAACCACATGCCAGTACCCTGTTCCCACTCGCTGCACCTATCCTGCCTTTAACCCTGTAAAGAAGTCCTCTGTAGCAACTGCTCCCTCCTCTGTTCCATCCTCCAGCTCTTCTCTGTCTTCAGCAGCTCCATCCATTTACAGACCTGCATTTACTTACAGTGCTTCAGTAACTAAACCTAAGAAGAAGCGAAAATTCTTTCCAACCAGTACCATCTTGCCAGTATCCAAATCAGTCAGCCTGCCATCTGAGAAACCGCCTTCTGTTACCCAGCCTGATGTTCCTACCCAGCCTGATGATCCTACCCAGCCTGATGACCCGGTGTTCGTGATCCAGCCTGATGACCCGATACAGCCTGATGACCCGATGCCCGTGGTCCAGCTTGGTGCCCGTGGTCCAGCCTGGCGCCCCAGAGCCCGCTGTCGTGCCAGATGACTCGGTGCCCGCTGTCGTGCCAGATGACTCGGTGCCCGCTGTCGAGCTTGGTGACCCGGTGCCCGCTGTCGTGCCAGATGACTCGGTGCCCGCTGTCGAGCTTGGTGACCCGGTGCCCGCTGTCGTGCCAGATGACTCGGTGCCCGCTGTCGTGCCAGATGACCCGATGCCCGCTGCCCAGCCTGATGTCCCGGTGCCCGCTGCCCAGCCTGATGTCCCGTTGCCCACTGCCCAGCCTGATGTGCCTCTGTCCGCTGCCCAGCCTGACGTGCCTCTGTCCGCTGCCCAGCCTGACGTGCCAGCTCCGGATGTCCAGCTTGCTTGGAAATCCTGTGTCCATCAAACTGCCTTCCTGCAGTCTCCTGCAAAAAGATAGGCCTATCAGCAGGAGACCCAGCGAGTCGCTTGATTCCGGCAGTGGGATGTCCAGCCAGTGGAACATTTGTGCCAGTACGGACTGTTTGGAGCGTCCTGAGGCTGCTCCTTGAGGGGGAGTACTCTCAGGAATGGAGAGTGGGACTCACCTGCCTTGTGGGCTGCAGTACCAGTGCTGGCCAGCGGGTGCTCTCAGCAGCCAGAATCTCACTCCTGCAGTCAAGCCATCACCTGAGGCTGATTGCAGGAGGTGTATTTAAGCAGGACCAGGCCTGCAATCAGTGCCTTGGCATATTGTTAACATGAGCCCCTGTGCCTGAACCTGATCCTGTCGTCTGCCTGCCTGCCTTCCTGATCCCTCTGCCTGACATTGATAGAACTCTGCCTGCACCGACCTCAGCTATTCCTGACCAATCTTCTGCCTGCTCCTTTGTACCTTGTCTGCCCGATGGTTCCTGACCTGGCCTGCCTGACCACTCCACCTCACCAGCCCTGACTACTCTTGTCTGTGTGCGTGTACTTTCCGTTATCAGTTGGAGGTTTGGTTTTGTTTATATTGTGCTTTTATATTTTTGTATAGCCTCTAATAAATTATATTGTTTACACCAGACTTGAGCCTGCTTTTCCCTGTGTTAGTCCACACACCTCTGGTCATACCTGGAGCCCTGATAATAGCTGTTAGGACACCTCTTTTTTTGGAATCTGCTTTTGCAGCAAAAATATATGGAAAGTTTTTGTGCGAGCATTTAGGAGGGTTTTGTGCACAAACGTGCATCTCCTGCACACAGAGAATATTACATTTGTAGTGAAAGGCTTTTGCCAGACTAATTTGTACTTGGTCGGATGATTAAGGCCCTTGGAATTAATCATTAGGAATGTCATTCCCATGAAATCCAGAAAACTCTAGTGCTTGTAATACTGGTATAAAGACTTTACTCACAATAAGTAAGAGGTGCCCTCCAGCGTTCAGAGGGGGAGTCTTCCATCCAGTTAGCTTGGAGGGAGTTGGTGGATATGAGAGAGCTCTCAGATCCCAATGCATGCTCCTTGACATTTAACTGTGACTAACAAATTTTAAAAAAACATAAGGAACAAAGAAACCTTGAGTAAAATACAAACCTAAAGTATGAATTTCAAGTATTAAAAAAATGGGTAATGATACCAGCGTGCAGCCTTGCTGCTCAAGCTTTTATAGTAGTGAGAGGAACAAAAAAAAAATAAAAAACTTGCAAAGGAAAAAAGGAACATACTGAAAGACCTGAGAGTTTCTGTAAGGGACCGCCCGGCGGCACCTCTAGCAATCCACCGGTGGGGTGCTTCCAGAGTGCAGAATCTAAGTCCCAGAGCACTTGTTCACCAGGGCCCCTGATGGTGGGGATGGACTTGGAGTGCTCTGAGACCAGGTCGCGATTACTGGACACACCCACCACTGGTAGAGGTATTCGCCGAGGGCTCCCGCAGAGGAAGAGCCTGATGTGAGGAGGTCGGGAGATCCCAACGGGATGGATGGAGGGATGGATGGCTGAGCAGGTGCAGGGTCAAACAAGCCGGGTCGGGAACCGTGGGGTATGCAGGTACAAAACAGCGGGCAGAGAATAGTCGGGTCACACGGGTCAACAGATTAGACCGAACGGCATTCAATGACAGCTCAGGGCGATTTAAATACTGCGCCCTGCGCTGTCATTGGTGCTCGGCACGCGCCCGCGTCACTCACTGCGCATGCGCGAGCTCGCCGCGGCCGGCCCGAACCTAGTGCCCGCATTCCTGTGTGAAGCGGCACACTGCGCCTACGCCGGGACCAGCGCCGCGGCGATCCCTGACATTGCCCCCCCCCTACGGGCAACCTCCGGGTGCCCACTTGATCCCTCCACCATGGGTGGTCACGAAGGAACTCTCGGACAAGTCTGGGGGCATGAACATTTTGGACCGGTTCCCAGGAATTGTCTTCTGGACCGTGGCCTTTCCATTTAATCAAGAACTGGGTCTGGCCCCCCCCCTCTTTCGGCATTTAAGAATTGCTTCCACCTCAAATTATTCCTGTTCTTCGATGGTTACGGCTTCTGGGGGTCTGGATTCTCGGTCCAGAAAAGGACCCGGAATAACTGGTTTCAGTAGTGAAACATGGAACACCGGGTGGATTCTAAAGGTTTCCGGGAGGATGAGCTCGTATTCCACTTTATTGATCATTCGTTTCACACGAAAAGGACCCACAAACTTTGGTCCTAACTTCTTCGATGGACACAACATCTTTAAGTTAGTTGTTGCCAACCAGACCTTATCCCCGGGTTGTAACATCAGTTCCCCTCTTCGTTTCTTATCAAAGGCCCTCTTGTTATCTTCCTGGGCCCTAGAGATGGCTTCCTGAAGTAGCTTGTTATTGGTAGAGAAGAAGGACAGCGTGTCTTGAGTAGCCGGGACTGCGCTCTCAGTGACCAGGTCAGGCAGAAAAATGGGATGAAACCCGTAATTTGCAAAAAACGGGGCCTGCCCCGTGGCTGAGTGATTTGCATTGTTATAAGCAAATTCCGCCAAGGGTAGAAGTGTCAGCCAATTATCTTGCAGGAAGGATGTATAGCATCTCAGATACTGCTCCAGGGTCTGGTTAGTCCTCTCTGTCTGCCCATTGGTCTGTGGGTGAAACGCGGAGGAGAAGGAAAGTTTGATACCCAACGCCTTACATAAGGATTTCCAAAATTTGGAGGTAAATTGGACTCCACCATCCCGAGACGATGTCTTCTGGTACTCCATGTAATTTTACCATCTCCCGTATGAAGATTTGTGCTGTTTCAAGTACCGACGGGGTATTCTTCAGGGGTAGGAAATGAGCCATCTTTGACAGACGGTCAACAACCACGAGGATGGCGGTGTGGCCCTGGGACGGGGGTAGCTCGACTATAAAATCCATGGCGATCATTTGCCAGGGCCGATCGGGTATTGGCAGCGGGCATAGTAGTCCCCAGGCCTTATTTCTAGGAGACTTATTTCTTTGGCAGATGGCACAGGACTTGACATAACGCTCGCAGTCCTTGGTCATATTCGGCCACCAAAACGAATGTTTGAGAAGATCCCGGGTCTTTGCCAGGCCGAAGTGCCCTGCCATCGGGTGGTCATGACAATGTCCCAGGACCAGTGTACGGACTCCTTCTGGTACCGCGATCAACCCTTCCTTCCATAAGAGTCCCCCCTTATTCTGAAGGGACACCCCGGATGGGGCTGACATGGTCACAGATGCTTCCTGTAATTTAGCGCGAAGTTCTGTTTGGAGAGCCAGAAAGTTTCCTGAAGAAAGAATGGTATCTGGCCTGGGCTCTTCTTCTGGGTCCTCAAACATGCGTGAGAGCGCGTCGGGCTTGGTTTTCTTAGATCCGGGTCGGTTCGTTATATGAAACGAAAAGCGAGAGAAGAATAGTGCCCATCGGGCCTGTCGTGGTCGCAAACGTTTTGCTGTCCTTAGATACTCTAAGTTTTTGTGATCCGAAAAGATCAGAATTGGATGCGTGGCGCCTTCCAGAAGATATCTCCATTCCTCTAGTGCTGTCTTGATAGCCAACAGTTCTCGGTCGCCGATGTCATAGTTTCTCTCGGCCGGGGTCAATTTTCTTGAAAAAAATGCCACTGGGTGTAAAAGTTCCTTGGTGCCTTTCCTTTGGGACAGAATGGACCCCACTGCGTTCTCCGATGCGTCTACTTCCAGCACGTATGGCAGTGATGCATCCGGGTGACCGAGAATGGGGGCTGTGGTGAATAAAGTCTTCAGGGCCCCGAAGGCCTCCTGAGCCTCAGGTGTCCATTTAAAGCGGATTCCTTGTTTGGTTAACTGCGTAATGGGGAGACCAGACCCGAGAAAGTTCTTAATAAACTTCCTGTAAAAATTTGCAAAACCAATAAAGCGTTGGACCCCCTTCTTATCTGTAGGAGTTGGCCATTCCAAAATTGCTGAGAACTTCTGAGGATCCATTGCGACCCCCGTGGTGGAAATGATCAGACCCAGAAAAGCAATACTGCGCTGCTCAAAATTACATTTGTCCGCCTTGGCATACAATCCATGTAGGCGCAAACGCTCTAACACCTTTGCCACGTGTTCCCGATGTGTCTCCAGTGAGGGGGAAAATATCAGAATGTCATCAAGATACACGACTACAAAAACATCCAGATAGTCCCTAAAAATGTCATTTATAAAATGCTGGAATGTGGCCGGGGCATTGCAGAGTCCAAAAGGCATGACCAGGTATTCAAAATGCTCAAAATGAGTGCGGAACGCCGTTTTCCATTCGCCCCCCTCCCTTATGCGTACCAGATTATAAGCACCCCTTAAATCCAATTTAGTGAAGATGGCTGCTGACTTCAGACTCTGAAAGAGTTCGGGGACCAGGGGCAATGGATAACGATTCTTAATCGTGACCCTGTTTAACTCACGGTAGTCGATACAGGGTCTCAGGGATTTATCTTTTTTCTCTACGAAGAAAATCCCAGCCCCTGCTGGAGAAGTTGAGGGCCGAATGAACCCCTTTTGGGGGCTCTCATCAATATATTCCTTGAGAGCCCCCAATTCTAATTCTGATAATGGAAAAATCCGGCCGAAAGGGATTTTGGAACCCAGTAATAGGTCTATGGGACAGTCATATGGACGGTGAGGGGGAAGGGTATCTGCCCCTTGCTTACTAAATACATCCAGGTAGTCATGATAGGCCGCTGGAATAACTTGTTCTAAATTGGGATCCCCTACTGAGCATAGGAGAACCTGGGGGATCGCGGGGCCCGAAGCGCGACAGTGTTTCTGACAGTATGGTGAGTGGAACACGACAGACCCGGTCTCCCAGTCAATCTGGGGGTTATGGGCCCGTAACCACGGGAGCCCCAAAATGACTGGGAAAAGGGGTGACACGATAGCATCTAGACAGAGGAGTTCGTGGTGCTGGCCAGCTACAGTGGTAGGAATA